AGCTCCTCTGGGCAGAAGAGAGGCTGGGGGATTTGGTAGCCAGAGAATCTCAAGGTAGTGCAGAGGAGGGAACTCATGCTGAGTTCACTGTGTTTTATAGAAGAAAAAGAACAGAGCAGCTCAGGACTTCTAAACCCTTCTAGACACTGAGATTGCTAATGCTGTATTAACTGATGCAATGTCCCTTTATGTGTTTTACTGCTAAAAAAACAAGCTCAGAGCGAGGCAAGGAGGTGGGCATGCACAGAAGGAAAGCACTGGGTCTGTTTATTAGCCACGGGGGACTTCAGGCCATTTAACGTCTCTGAGTCTCAGTTTCTGCATGTGTAAGATGGGTATGAGGCTGCCTATGGAAGAGGGTTCTGTGAGAATGAGGTAGTAACATACACGAAGTCCCAAGCACAGTGCTAGGCACCTCCTGAATGATCATTAAGTGCTGTCATATAAAAGAAAAGCCATCCCCAGGGAAGCAGCTGTCCCGTTTTGGTAAAAAGCTTCCTAAGACTTCTCTTCAAATGGCTACATGCTCTTCTTTTCGGTTTGGAAAATGTTATGCAATCCAACATGCATCTTACTTTCTCAAATTTCCTACTGTTCTCAAGAAACCTCCAAAACTACAAGCCCGCAGCTCCTCATAAGGGTGGACAACAGTTAATGGAGAGAAACATGAAAGTGACATCATGAAGAGGCCAAAATTATCCCATTTCCTCAAATCCATGCAGTTGGTTCATAGAGTCTCACGTCCCTCCTTTGAACATTTCTCATTTCCTTTCAGGGTCATGTGAGTGAGAAGACTGACGAGCCCTTGAAGGGTCACCTTGTCCAACTCTGTCTTAAAATTAGATAGAGAATAACTAAAAACCATGCCGGTAATTGTTCAGGGAAAAAAAGTGTTATAGAGTTCATTTAATTTTGTTAAGCTAATTAGCAGAGGGCGACAGAGCCAACTTGAATGAAATGAGGCCAGTCCTATTTGAAATCACATTTAGGCCAATAAAACTCTGGGTCCCAGCACATCAATTCCTCATCCCACCCTCCCCTCCCCTCTACCTTCGAGCTTATCACTAGGATTTAAACAGGTGTGACCATCCCGAAGAAACTACAGCTATATAGACTGGCCTTGACTGCACTCATGATTAGCTGCCTAAATAATGAATGAATTAGCCTACAGACAGAACTCAGCTCTCACTAAAAAAATTAATAATCGGCCGGGCAAGGTGGCTCATGCCTGTAATCCCAGCACCTTGGGAGACTGAGGCGCGTGGATGGTGAAACCCCGTCTCTACTAAAAATACCAAAATCAGCCGGACATGGTGGCGGGCACCTGTAATCCCAGCTACTCAGGAGGCTGAGGCACAGAATTGCTTAAACCCTGGAGGCAGAGGTGGCAGTGAGTTATGTTCATGCCACTGCACTCCAGCCTAGGCGACAGAGACTGTCTCAAAAAATAAAAAGTAAAATAATGATCAATACCCAAAATATGTCAGATTCTATTAAAAAATAAGTTATTCTCCCTCAGTTCAAAAGTGATTGCCAACAAACTGCCTCTGGTTGTTCACTGGCAACTGCCCAGTTATTTATCCTCTTTGGGGAGAACAAAATAGATGTACATAACATCAACTACTTATATAAAATTTTAAGTTATTTGTTTCAGGCATTTTGGGTTTTCTCCAGGAGAGGTGAAGAATGTGACTGTAATCCCTAAAGTCTTAGAATGAGTTTCAGGTTGGGAATGGTGGCTCATGCCTATAATCCCAGCATTTTGGGAGGCCAACGCCAGGAAATTCCTTGAGGCCAGGAGTTTGAGACCAGCCTGGCCAACATGGTGAAACCCTGTCTCTACTATTATAAAAATACAAGATTAGACAGCAGTGGTGGCATGTGCCTGTAGTCCGAGCTACTTGGGAGGCTGAGGCACAAGAATCGCTTGAACCCAGAAGGAGATTGCAATGAGCCCAGATCGTGCCACTGCACTCCAGCCTGAGTGATGGTGTGAGATTGTTTCAAAATGAGTAAAATCATGTTTCTAGACACGGCTAACTTTAAAAATAATAAAAGATGAGTTTCATTTTAGATGTACTAAATGAAAAGAAGTTAGAACTTGTTCCTTTGGGTGTTGAAAAGACAAATCACTTTCTCTTTTCAATTTTAAGTCAAACAGTATAGAAGGAATACAGCAATTTGCTGGAAACCTAGCTGGGGTGGGGGAAGCCCTCATTTTTTCAGCATTTGCTGATTTCTCAGGTGTAAATATCCCCATCATGGCCAATTTCAAGCTATCAACAGTTTAATGAACAGCTGACAAAATTCCTAAAAATTTAACAATTGGCTCTCCCCTGCACACCACTGGAGCTAGACAAAAGAGATCACTAAGATTTCTCTCACACCCTTTCATTTGGTTGGTAAACTTTGTTAAATAAACCACTAGATAGTGTGAATTTCACATCATATAATCACATTTAAACAAGCTTTTAAATATGGTTCTCATCCTAGTGATCATTAAAACTCAGGTTATAAAATAATATTTAATTATATTTTTTAGGAAATATTTTAAGTCAAAATAGTGTTAACAGTATGACCCCAAATTTGCATGTAAAAATGACTGTAAGGAAAACTATTTAGAGGCATAAACTAAATTTTCTTAAATAAAACGTAATTTGGCAGGGCACAGTGGCCCCAAAATCTAATTATTAATTGTAAGACTATGTGCTTTATTTTCTTCTTTGTGCTTTTTTCTATTTTTCAGATTTTGTCCAATGTTTACAACTGGGGGAAAAAAGCCATTATTATTATATAGTTCAGAAAAAAATATACAACATTTCAGATTCTTTTATGTCCATAGAATCTTATGAACAGACTGGCCAGAAGGCTGAATCAGATTGATTCTATTTAAGGCTAAATCTTTACCTTTATGTTTACGATGTGTTTACTGCTTTCAAAGTACTGCCATATGCATTACCTAATTGGATCATCCTTGACCCACAGAAGGCAGGTTATTATACTTTCATTTTACAGATGCAAAAACAGAGACTCAAAATGATTACATGATTTGCCCTGATCACACGGTCAAATAAAGCAGTTAAACTAGGACTTTGACCCTGGACTTCTGGTTGTTACCCCCAAGACCCTCCCCCAAAAAACAAGCTGGGTGAAGCTTTGCTCCTGGCTCCTTGGTTCAATCAGTTCCTATTGAAAACCTAGACCTGATTCTGCAAGGGGTCACACCCCTGGTCTTGACCGTTTTAAACGTCCCACGTTTGACTAGTATCATCCAGGTAGGACATATGCCATTCACGCAGCGATGCTACACAGAACAGTGCCTAGAGTGGACTCTTTAGGTTGGAAATGTATAAGCATGACTGCAGAACTTGTCGAGGAAGCACCCACACTCTGGGATGAAAACCATGGGCAGTGTGCTACACATACCCACTTACAACAATCTTTAAAGGCCGCATTAACAGGTTCTGCCATACCTTCTCTCCAAAGAACTAGGGAATGCCCTTTAGGGGAATGGTTGAAGGAGTAACTTCTGGGGAGATCTGTCTGAAGCTTCTGTTGGGTCCCATGTGGTGTGGGCTGGGACATCCATCTCCTGCTGTGGACCCTCACTCCTGCGCACAGGCAATGCTTTCCCAGGGCTCATTTACCAGAAACGACCACATGTTGGGTTTTCCAATTATAAGAAACAAAAACTTGTTGCCTCAAGTAGTAAGTTTTAGCAGGTGAATATACAAGTTACTTACACACACACACACACACACACACACACACACACACACACACGCTCTGATGAGCTCTCACGAAAAGCCAGGCCACCAGGCTTCAGGGAAACAGGTGGCCCAAGAGGGGGTGGTCCAGAGCAGAAGTCCCTCTCCTGCAAGTGTCAACGTGCAGCGCAGACAGGATGCAGCACTCCCACCTGGACTCCTCAGGGTGGCCCATTGGTAGCCTTAGGGGTCCTCTCCCACTGTGATGGCAAGGCCGCTCCTTCAGGGCCACAGGTTGAGGCCAAAGATGAAGACTGTCTTATGAAACTCCGTGTTTCCTGGGATTCACTTTTAGATGCTTCAGTGGAGACCATGTGATACAAATGTGTGCTGGCTTCCATCTGCACCCCAGGGGTGGTCTGTTAACGTCACATGAAGAACCCTAACAGGAATTCATGGGCATTGTTAACTTCACATGAAGAACCCTAACAGGAATTCATGGGCAGGGAGGGAAAGGTAATCAAAGGCCCACGCTAGAGGCAGCCAGTAAGGCATGTGCTACATTTATCTTCTGATCCGTAACAGAATCTTAATTAGCACCAGGATATTAAAAATTACTTTTCATTGGTAAAATGAGTTTTCAAGATGTGTGAATTGGCTACAAATATTGTAGACGCTCTTCCTTCCCTAGTATGAACAGGGTATAAGGAATCAGGAAGCCAAACTGCCTATGGCTTTGGAATGGAATCTGAAAATGCTTGCTGGAGTATTCTGTAACCTGCACAACCAGAGTTAGCCGAGTCTTGTGACTAAAATATTCTCTCATCTGTTTGGAGTCAATTTACACACAAGGTGCCACCAAAACACTAAGAGGACAGACACCTGGGACTTCATCAAGCTTACTGTGGCCAGATGCTGCCTTGTTGCCAGTAGGTGTTGACATTTGCTTCCACAGCAGCAGTCTGCTGGTGAGAGAGGAGTCGGTGAGAGAAGACACCTAGATGGCTCACTCAACTTTGAGGTTGTTGATAATCTCTCGAAAAGAACACAAGAATCTTGCATGATCCAGTCCAGGTGACTTGGGACCTTTTGCTCTGATAACTTTAGTATTCTCACAAATAATCAGGGAACTTCTGAGCAGAAGCTGAATGAGTTCTGTGACCACACTCGCACACAGAAACAAAGGGCCTGGGCAAATTTTGGGTTACCTTTATATTCCTGAGCAGCCCTTCCACAGCCATGCTCAGTAATATTTCACATCTCAGTTAAACACCACTATTCAATTTGCAAAAATCAATCTTAAAGCACTTTGTTTTAATCTTTATTCTCTTCAATTATAAAAATACACTCCCTATAAAAGTATTACATTACAGAAAACAGAAAAGCCAAAAATTCCCCCAGAATCCCACCATCAGAGATGACTACTCCTCTTTGATAAGCATTCCTCCAGGTTTTCTAAGCATATAGTAGTACGTACATAAGCAGGAAAAAGTAAAATCCTGCTACATAGATGCGACTGCTCTTATGCAAGTTTTCAAACAGTTCTGACGAATAATTACGACCAATTTCTTCAGGGAACTTTAAGCACTAGTTTTCAGAGAAGATTCACTGACACTGTGGGTAGAAAAACCTCTAAGATTTTCTTATCATTTGTAATAAATATTGTTCCAAGTGTTAACGGTAAAATAGAGTTTTTAAAAATAGTAAATAAAGAAAAATAAATGTGATACAGAGAAGAAAAGTTCAGAAAATCATCGCAGTTTCTTATCAAAATCAAAACTCCTAAGTCCCAATTCCAACAAGTACCACAAAACGGCTTTAAAATGGGATTCTGAGAAACAATCACTCTTTACCATAAAAGAGAGCTGCTAAGGTCTCTATACGCAAGCCTGGAGCCTGAAAGTCTGAAGTCCTGCTTGCCTGGCTGAAGTCTCCCACCCTCTGCCTGCGTTTGCCATTGTCCCTGATCCCCCAGACAAGCCCCTCACCCAACCCTGCCATCTTAACTGTTCTTATGTTAATGTAAATACCTCTCACCCAAGCCTGACATCTTAACTGTTCTTATGATAATGTAAATACCACTCACCCAACCCCACCACAGTAACTGAACTTACTCTGCAACACACCCACCCCCCAAAAAACTGCCCAAACCTATAAAACCAACTCCTACCCCACTGCCCTTTGCTAATGCCCTTTTCGTCCTTCGCCCACCTCACCTAGGTGAATAAATAGCCATGTTGCTCACACAAAGCCTGTTTGGAAGGTCTCTTCATTCAAAGCGCCCGTTTTTCAACAATAGCTATAAAAGTAATTCTACAATTTTGGGGTCTTTTTTTTTGAGACAAGGTCTCACTCTGGCATGATCAAGGCTGACTGCAGCCTTGACCTCCCAAGCTCAAGTGATCCTCCCACCTCAGCCTTTCGCATGCCTGGCTATTTTTTTCTTTTTCTTTTTTTGGTAGTGACAACATCTCACTACGTTGCTTCGTTTAACAAAAAAAGGGAAGAAGGGCGGGGGCAGAATGGAGGACACAGACTAGAGTTCAGCTTTTACAAGTGGCAAAGGACAATTTTGATTCAACCTCCCACAGCTTCATTTGTAATGCTTGCAAGACATCTTCCATCTATTGAATTGAAAAAATAAACAAACACATATCAATATCATTAAAAATATACATGGTTAAATATAATTAAAATATACACTTAATGCAATTTTGAATATGTCATGCATTGCATGGTAGATATTCAGTGTTTAACAAAACTACTCAGAGGCATAAACTAAATTTTTTAAAATAAAACATAATTCTATCAACAGCAGTTCTCAACCTATAAGCTATGTCTCTTCCATATGGTCATCACCATCTCACCCATCTGGCAATGAGAAGAGAAAATGCTAACATCCAACAATAAGGCTATATATACCACAAAAATCAATTCAAACAAAATACTGATTTGAATCAAAAATGTATTTCTGGCTTAGCAGTGTTGGAACATACAGTTTTGATTTTGACATGAAATGACTTCCTTATTATTTTGTTGATAAAGCTTTAACTTCATTTGAGTTCCCCAAAGATCAACTTTACTAAGAACTGAAATGAAATAAGCATACTCTTACAGTGAGCAAAACAGATGACATTATGAGAATTATCATTTGTGGGAGAGCACTTCACTGAGAAATTGTTCATACAAATATGTAAAATGTACAGAATAAAATTACCTGTTTTAAAGACTTTTCTATTTCAACTCTGCTTTCAAGATTAAAAAGTTCTTTATCTTCTGACACAATTTGCTTTTCAGAGGACCCTAAAACATAACTGAAGTACAGTACAAGGTTAAAATATAAGCTGGGTGTGGTGGCATGCACTTATTCCCAGCTATTCAGGAGGTGAGACAGAAGGATCATCTGAGGTTAGGAATCTGAAACTAGCTTGGGCAACACAGCAAGACCCCAAGCAATATGCCTGTAGTCCTAGCCATTTAGGAGGCCGAGGCAGGAGGATCACTGGAATCCAGGAGTTTGAGGGTGCAGAAAGCTATGATTACAGCACTGCACTCCAGCCTGGGTGACAGAGCAAGACCCCATATCTTAAAAAAATATGTTTTTAAATAAATAAAAATAAAAAGCTGGGGTCAAGGGGAATATCCTACTAAACTACACTCAATTTTTTTAAAAAACTGAATATACTTTTACTCCAAAAAAATTTCTCAGTGTTTTCTCCTACAATTTAGAGTGTCTGACTTTTCCAATACCAAATAAAGAAGCAGGTCAAAGCAAAAAAAAAAAAATACTGGCTTGTTAGAAATCATTACTTGAAAATATATTTAACCAAACAGTATTGACTTAGTTCTGAAGTTTCCGTACCAATTTCTCTGCAAACTTAACTTTCTGAAACACCAGTTGTGAGGTAAGCATTTATATAGCACACTTACCTTTCGATGGCTTCAACACTGAGGCAAAACAAGTCTCTCTTGTAATCAAGATTCTTGGGTGTGCATCTGTACACGTAGCCAAGGTTGAGTGAGCACCCCGTGCAGTACAAAGTCTCAAGGATGCTGCAATAAAGGAATGTCTTGCTTTAGGAAACAAAATAGCAACTCATTATAATAAAAATCTCATCTTTAAAATCCATAAACACTTCAGTCTCTCAAGTATGCTATTCTGACCATATCAGATCATACATATAGGAAGGGAAAAATGATAGTAAGATATTTACAATAAAAATATAAAGACAGTCATCTCTAGACCATGATGTCTTAAGTATCAAATGACAAGGGACATACAAAAAAGTGACAAGAAAAGATACTGAGGTGGTGTTTTTCTGGAATATAAATTCCTCTATCTGGTACAAGAAAAATAATCTAAAATTTGGAAATACACAAAAAGATTCTACATGTCCTTTTAATGTCATGTTGTCCAAAAAGCCCACCAAGGGGCATTAACACATTAGGCAAGGGACAGGAATTTTTGGGTAACTAAATGTAACAAAGCAGAGAATAAATATTTTAGGTGTGCCAGCCATATGGTATCTGTCACTACTCACCTCTGCCACTGTAAAACCGAAGCACCTATAGACAATACATAACTGAATAATCTGCATTCCAATAAACTCGTATTCACAAATGGGTGCCCAGTCCATGGGTCACAGTTTACCAAACTCTGCTCTAGTGGAAAGTAATACTGTTTGGCTTAATAAAAACAGACTCTCTGAAGTTAGATGACAGCCCATGTAATTGTTCCTTCATTCTCATTATCTCTCAACTCAGGTTCCACACACTTGAATATACCCTCCCATAAATCCTATTCATGTCTCCTTAAAATCTGGCTTAGAATCCAGCGTCTCTCAAATGCCTTGTTGAACTGACCCATCCAAATTTACCATTGTATAAATACACTAAAATTACCATTCCAACACATAGCAAAGTGATAACTGGAGATTTAAATACTATTGCAAAAGTATTATAACTCCTACTCAGTACGTGAAACACTTGTAATCACTAAATATCCATTCCTATCAGGCAAAACGGAGTGATTATAAACTACATCATTGTTTACTTACAGATACTAAGATACAGGCACTGTTATTTATTACAGCAACATATGGAACAAAGAACAAAATGGAGCACCACCTGATTACATCATGAATGCTCACTGATTATGTGATTAGCTAGTAATACGCCACTGATTACATATTAAGTGTCCATGGGCTTTTATAAGTTTCTATACTTTTTTTAGTTTTACAGTATAAATAGTCTCACTATGTTGCCCAAGCTGGTCTCGAACTCCTAGCCCCAAGCAATCCTTCACCTTGGCCTCCCAAAGGGCTGAGATTATAGGCATGAGCCACCATACCCAGACAGCTTGTATAAGTTTTTACATAAGAAATATAAAAGCATGCTGACAAATCCCACCTATATTACTCACAGTTAACCAGCAAACCTCCATGCTAAATATCAAACCTCATTACCATTATGAGACTGCCTCGCACCATTACCAAGATTACAAACTAATATCTAACGTAAGTGTCATCAGCCAAGAAAGGACACTTAGAGAAACCAAAGGCTTGAATTCCCCAAATAGACTGAGCCATGGATAAGACTGTTCTATCCTGAGCTATCAAAATCAACCTAAACACCACCAAAAATAGGAATGAACCCGATCATACTTCTACAACCATCTTTTAGAGCAATGAAGAGACGATAGCTACTATTAAGCCAGCATCTTTCTGCTTTCAGTTGGCAAGAATTTGGCCAGAATTCACCCTTTTCCTTGAACAATAACATTGAGAAAGCAGTGGCAACAATCTTAAGGTAATTTTAGACAAGGAATAATTTGATCGTAAGATTCTCAACAAAGGACAGAGTCATACTAAACAGAGGAAACAGCACTGCTACGTTCACGACATACTTCTAAAGCCAACAGTGCTCTTGCTGACCATCAGCAGAATAGCTCAGGCAGGTATTCCGCAGGATGGGCTTATGGAAAAATTCACAAGCATCCCAAAGCAATATGGGAGTGTGGAGCACACAACCCTAGTGAAGTCCAACACAACTGAAGGCAGCATAATCGATGGGTTTAGGTGACACAAACAAACCGTATTAATGGCTCTGAGTCAAAGAGAGTGAATTCTCTATCAATCCTGATTATAAAAAAGAAGAAAGGCTGGGCGCGGTGGCTCACGCCTGTAATCCCAGCACTTTGGGAGGCCAAGGCGGGTGGATCATGAGGTCAAGAGATCGAGACCATCCTGGTCAACATGGTGAAACCCCATCTCTACTAAAAATACAAAAAATTAGCTGGGCATGGTGGCGCGTGCCTGTAATCCCAGCTACTCAGGAGGCTGAGGCAAGAGAATTGCCTGAACCCAGGAGGCGGCAGTTGCAGTGAGCCAAGATCACGCCATTGCACTCCAGCCTGGGTAACAAGAGCGAAACTCCATCTCAATAAAAAAAAAAAAAAAAAAAGAAGGAAAAAGTCTTGGTTTGGTGCTAGACTGTCTTTGACACTTGTCTCACAGTTGCAAATCTTTTAATAGTAAGAGAACAAACTTCAGGCAGAGAACCAGCCAGGCAATAATATCTCAGCTAGAAGTAATCACATTTGTTTTCACTGTAATTATCTTCAATTGCTTTCTAGTTATGGCAAGTTATATGTTGATGATAGTAAAAAGAATCCTTTTAAAATTTAAATAAAAATTTTAAGTCGATTTAATTTTAAAAATTAAGTATGCAATAGCAGAGCTGGTAGGTAGTACACAAATAGGGCAAAAATGATGAAGGTGACATCAGAATGGCTAGAGCTGGGAAGTGGAGAAGAAAGCATTTTGAAGGAAGTCAGGAGGGATAACAAGCATCATCCTAGCTCTTCCTGCTAATTAGTCCTGTGACTTTAGCAAAGTTCTAACCTCCCTGGGCCTTACTTTCCTCAACTACAAAATGAGAAATGATCTAAGGCTGGGTTTTCTTAATTCGTATGGCCCACATGCCAGCACCACAGTTTGTCACAGCCACAAACTATCTGTACTGGTTTCGGTTTTTTTCTTTTTACTTTTATGGGAGAGATACATAGGACAAAGACTGCAGAAACGGGGACGCAGAGCTTCCAAGCCCTTTCTAGGTACACCACCCTCCTGGCATCTCATATTCACCAACCTGGAAGTTCTCTAAAACCTATGGGTTTTTTGGGTTTTATAACATAGGCAAGATTGATTAAATCATTGCTCATCATCCCTAGCCCCTCTCCCCTCCATGGAGGTAAGAGAAGAGGTTGGGGTACAGCTGAAACTTCCAACCCTCAAAAGACCCTTGGTCTTTCTGGCCCCCCATCCTGAAGCTACCTAGGAACCCCCAGCCACAGTCATCTCTTTAGGATTCAAGAGGACATTACCACCACTCCAGAGATTCTAAGCATCTTAGAAGCTTTTGCATCAGAACTGGGGCCTAAGACCAAACATGATAACAAAAAATATTATTATCACCCAATCACTTAAGAAATTAAAAGGGTTTGGGGAGCTACTAAGTTTCTGTCTCCTGCTAAATGTGTAAGTTGAAATCATAGTACCTAATGTGATGGTATTAGAAGGTGGGATCATAAGGAGGTGATCTGGTCATAACGGCATAGAGTAACTTTTTAAAAATTAAATATACTTTATTTGATAGGATACTCCAGCATACCAGTATTTTTAATATACATTAAAATACATACAAAACTAATTTTTGTTTAACTGTGTACCACCTGAAGTTATTCCATATGTGAGTATAAGATACAGTTTACATTTGGAGCAACAATTATACAGGGCAGCACGTCCCACTCAGTATACTCAGGTGTTACTATGGCACATGGGTGGCAGGTATGGCAAGATGTGTGTCCCCTCAACCCTTAGAGTAGCCACATAGGACTTTAGCTTGCTGGCGCTCCTGTGTTGTTTGGTCCTGCCTTATCTGTTTACCCCAATAGGCTATGTGTGTGTGACAGCAGCATTTTATGTGTGCTACAACATGAGAAAGGTGGGCAGCATTAGCCTAAGGCACTCTTTAACACTGAGATTTTATAATACAGGTATTTTCCCTTTTTTTTTTTGGAGACAACAGAGTCTTGCTCTGTTGCCCAGACTGGAGTGCAGTGGCACAATCTTGGCTCACTGCAACCTCCACCTCCCGGGTTCAAGCTATTCTGTCTCAGCCTCCAAAGTAGTTGGGATTACAGGCACACACCACCACACAAGGCTAATTTTTGAATTTTTAGTAGAGACAGGGTTTTGCCATGTTGGCCAGGCTGGTCTCGAACTTCTGACCTCCAGTGATATGCCCACCTCAGCCTCCCAAAGTGCTGGGATTAAAGGCATGAGCCACCATGCCGGCCTTCTTTTTCTATTTTTCTTTTCTTTTCTCTCTTTTTTTTTTTTTGAGATGGAGTTTCGCTCTTGTTACCCAGGCTGGAGTGCAATGGCACGATCTCAGCTCTCCGCAACCTCCGCCCCCTGGGTTCAGGCAATTCTCCTGCCTCAGCCTCCTAAGTAGCTGGGATTACAGGCACGCGCCACCATGCCCAGCTAATTTTTTATATTTTTAGTAGAGACGGGGTTTCACCATGTTGACCAGGATGGTCTCAATATCTTGACCTCGTGATCCACCCGCCTCAGCCTCCCAAAGTGCTGGGATTATAGGCGTGAGCCACCACGCCCAGCTCTATTTTTATTTTCAATTTTCTTCAGCATCAAGCCCAAAGATCCAAAAAGGGAGTGTCAGAATACACTTTTATAAAACTAGAAACTCTAATTTTTCAATATCTAAGGGTGACCACAACCACTCAAGAATTGATATACTCCTTTTTGAAATGGGATATAGAAAAAGAAAAAAAAAACTGATACATGTGAATGACTGACTTTTACTATCATAAAAACTTTTATCCCAAGTAATCTTACTACTAGTAACGACCTTTTAAAGATTTTAATTAAAAAAAAAAATTCTCTAGCATACTCATATAAATACAGCTTTACTCACCAACCATTTTCCTTTTCACGTTTGGATAGCTTCTGCTCCTTATCCACGGAAACATTACAGGAAACACCTATAGAGAAAGTAATAATTTATTAATGTGGTTTGTTACAACATACATGCAAAGAGTTAGAGAATTTCTAATCCAACTTTTTAGAACTTGGAGGACAAAAAATAAGCCCAAAGTCAAACACACACACGAGTGGTTCAAAACTAAAAGTACCAGGGGTCTTCTGGGAAAAGATGGCAGAATAAGAGTTATTTCCAACCAGCCGCAGTGGCTCACACCTGTCATCCCAACAGTTAGAGAGGCCAAGGTGAGAGGATCGCTTGGGGCCAGGAGCTAGAGATCAGCCTGGACAACATAACAAGACTCCATCTCTACAAAAAAATTTTTAAAGAAAAATGTTAAAAGGTTATTTCTTTCCTTTCCCTAGAGAGAAAAATTCATTTAACAGTAAACTTGGAACCATTAGAATCTCAAATCACAGACTGCAAAGAATTATCTGCCAGATAGTGAAATTGGGTTCCAAACCTAGGAAGATGCAAACAGCCAACACATCTATCTCCAGATTTCCAACACAGGACCCATTTCTCTAAAAGTAACTGAGACGGTCCTCAGGATCACAGCCACACATCTTTTACTTGGACAATGACTTGGACAGAGGTCACAGCTGGACTCCAGAGGCAGCAGCAAACATTCTCAAAGAATCCAGGTCTAGGACACACTAAAGGACAGGGTAGAGGATGAAAAAGAAACAAAGAAGGGACATCAGACCTAAAATGACCAGAACTGACTCTTAATTTCACCTCCTCCTACAGTCTACCTTAACTTGGTAAACTCCACCTCCACCTACGTGCTTGCTGAAATCAGAAACCAGGTGTCTTCCTTGATTCTTCATCTCCTCATCCTGCTTCCCGGTATCTACTCCACTGATCATCCCATCCATTCTACCTCCCAAACCTCACTCCAGCCCCCAAACCACCAGCACCACCTCTTGCCTGGACTCCTGCTCTGGCTCTTCACTGACCTCCCCAACTCTATACTTGTTCCTCCTTCAATGTTTTCTCCAGAGAAAAAGCAGGGTCATATTACTCCCCTGCCTAAGCTAGCATCACGGTTTACTCACTAGAACAGATTACTATTCTTTAGGACAGACCTCAAGGCCCTGAACTTTCTGGCCCTTTAATTCCTCCCTAAATCTTTACTCTTTGACCATATTCTAGTCTCCGGGCTTTTGCATGAGCTGCTCAACACCTGTTAAAAGCAAACAGCATGACCTAGAATTGTACCTGTTGCCAAGCTAGCATTCACATATTAAAAACAGGAAAACATTTTCAAGCACATCAACTTGAAATTTTCTTGGCGATGTGGGGGAGAAGGGCACTAATGATGATTAGTCAAATAACTCAGGAATGAAAAAGCTATTAAGAAGCTTTCTTATGGTAAAGACTAGTGGAGTTGGGAAATAAATTTATATAAACATTATAGGATCAGGTGCTGTAGCTCACCTCTGTAATCTCAGCACTTTAGGAGGCCAAAGCAGGGGATTGCTTTGGGGCCAAGAGTTTGAGATCAGCCTGAGCAGCACATCAAGACTCAGTCTCTACAAAAAATTTTAAAATTAGCCAGGTGTTGATGTCTGTAGTCCCAAGCTACTTGGAAAGCTGAGTGGGGAAGACAGTTTGAGCCCAGGAGTTCAAGGTTACAGTGAGCTATGATTGTGCCACTGTACTCCGGCCAGGGCAACAGTAGGCTGTTAATCCACTACAACCCTTAATTCACTATAACCTTGTCTATTCAAAAAAAAAAAAAACCTATTAAATAAATAACCCTATTAAAATAGAAAGGCTGTGTTATGGCTACAAAACGCAATGTAAATGTACAGAATGTAAATATATAAACCTTGACAAAATGAAAACAATGAAACTATCAAATTGAATGGAAATGAATCCGAGTTCATTTGTCTGTCTTTACTGGGGTCGGGGGAGAGGGCAAGGTGGTGTTAAATCCCCTCTAATCTGATAAATCAAAAACGTATAGTTCTTTAAATTTTAAACTATGTTTGCTATTTTTAAACTATGTTTTAAATTTTAAAACTATTAATATAAAAATTAAATAACAAAACAATACCCTTTCTATATGTAAAGCAAAACAAAGGACGCACATGGCAAAAGACAAACACTATCAAAACAAAGTACAAATAAAATGAAAGTTGTAACACCAAATATGTTATTTCTTAAAAAGATGTAAATCAGGTAAACTCATTCAAACAAAGAGCTTCCCCTACTGGATCAAAAATGTGCACGGTTTGGTTTTAATAGGTGCAAAGAGTTAATCTCAACTTTCAGTTACCTAGTGGACACTGATGTGCTCCTTTATTCTCAGTATTACACTGAGGAAAACGTTCCAGAAACATCGATAAGACGATGGTGAGTTTTTGCCATCGAAACATTTACAGTATTCAAAGACAGGAAAAACTTCATCTTGAAAAACCACAATCCAAAAGTAACAGCCATTTTCACATCAATTCAGAAAAAATGTAAGTGAATCACTTCATCCCTAAATACTGCAAAAACAGCAAAATGAGAGAACAGTGGAAAAACAGACATAACTGCTAGAACCAGGATTAGAAACTAAATTCCCGTCTTCTTCTCTTTTGCTACATCCTCCTTCCTCGCTAATTTTGATGAGATTGCTGCGGCTTTTATTGCACGTTTCCGTCCTTTTCTTCCCCATAGCACTGTGTTATGTCAGCTCTGCGGCTCGGCATCGCTGATGCACCAACAGCCCGCTAATTCCTGTGGGGAGTCGTAGGGCTGGCTACGCCTCAAGTGCTTGCAATCTAGTTAGCCATTTGTTTCTCTCTTTTCTTAGGACCTTTCAAAAAACGTTATTCTTTGTTGCCCTTTGTTTCTGAGTCATGCTGACGACGGTGCTGATTCAACCGCTGCTCTTCTGGGATCGGGGACCACAGAAAAGAACCCGTCCCGCGAGAGCCGAAGTGGAAGAGCGACCCTCCTCCCCTCCTCCTGCGACAGCTCACACTCTCATGCTTTTTGCTCTTAAAGTCCCTGAGCAGCTCCAAGGAGCCTCCTTGTCCTCCGGGGCCCCCCAGGTGCTGCAGAGCTGGAAGAAGGCGACCCCAACCCCCCAACCCCCCACCCCCCAATCCCCAACCCTGCGCGGCCCGACCCAACTAACAGCGTAGCAGGATGCAGTTGGTGTCCTCCTGGCTGGTCACCCAGCTCAGCGAGTCGCCCAGCGGCCGCCGGCAGCTGGAGCACAGGAACACCAGCGGCCTCTCCTCCGCCGCCGCCGCCTCCTCGAGACGCGCCTTCTCCGTGTCGGCCACCGACGCGTCCTCGCTTGTGGAGCGCCACATATTCGTCCACTTCTGCAGCAGCTGGTGGCGGCTCGAGTCTTCGGAGAGCCTCTTGCTCAACAGCGAGGAGTCGCTGCACTTGCCCTTGTCGCCGTACTCACAGCTGCCGTCGCATCCTGTGCAACACCTCAGTGACGGAGCTCCCGCCATTACCTACAAATCGCCCGCGCCCCACAGCGTCAAGGGAAGAAAAAAAAAACAGAAAGGCCCCTGCGCATGCGCAGGGCAGGCCGCAGTGGCGGAGGCCGAGAAGGGGCAAATGCCTTAGGGGAGGCAGGACGGCGGGCGGTCACTGCGCTTGCGTCACGCTTTCTAGTTTGAAGAAATTGACGCTGCAGACCTGTTTGCTTGTCTTGCTAGGGATTATTCGCCCCTTTCCGTGGGAGGGGCAGCGCCACTGAGAAAAGTACAGGCTGTAAGCTTGAGTGTCTAAGAACCACTTTCCCAGACTCCGGTTCAGTTGGTAGCGGGTTAGCCCGAGAATCTGCATTTCTAACAAGTTCCTAGGCGTGCCCACGCTGTCAGTATTGGCAGCCCCACATTTTCTAGGGGGTGGGGAGCAGTACTGCTATGTTGCCGGTCTAGAACTCCTAGCCTTAAGCGAGCGTCCCGCCTCGGCCTCCCAAAGTGCCAGGATCGCAAGCGTGAGCCACTGTGCCAGACCAACACCCTTTTCTTTTTTGTAAATGGACTAATTATAGTTGTATATAAGCAGCTCCACTTTTGATGACCACTGCTCCTGGGGGCCTCCTTTCCATGAAGTGGAGAAGGCAGGGGATAGGGGGTGACCCTCATCACAGGGTCCTTTTGCACATTGTTATTCCTGGAATGAGACCCTGGGGACGGCCCCAGATCACTTAGGCTGTCACTGCAAGGAAAAAGTTGAGGAAGCAGCAGTGCCCCCTGGAAAGCCTGAAAGCGCCCCTGCTGCTTGGATCATGGAATCATTCGTCCTTGCGAGGTTCGAGAAGCATCCCTTCTTGCTGATAAGGACAGATTTCCTCAGCTGCCCGGAAAGCCAGCCTCTGCCTGAAACACCCCAGGTCAGGAGGAAAGCTGACAGGGAACCAGCCAGCGGCACCACAGACAGCCTGGCGGCATACCTGGGAAGAAAGCTACCTGTAAGGACCTACCTCTGCTCCCACTACGCTCTGGATGTTCCCCAAGTCACTGTCTACTTGCCCTAGTTGCATGAACTATTTACATAAATGTACTTCCAATTTTAGTGCTTACGGCCACTAGCAAAAAGCAAAGGCTTTGAAGTCAGTAGTCCTGGTTAACTCACCCCTCCCTCCACAAGGCAGTAATAATGTAGGGAATTTCGGAAAAGGGTGTTTGCCTTCCCTGAGTCTGATTCTTCAATACTACACCAAGTTGTTAAAGAGGATCAAGTTTTCTAATATTGATGAAAATACTTTGTTAACCCTAGCACACCATGCTCATGTTCATTAGCTTCTTACTGGAAGAAAATGCTTCAGATAGTTGAGGCTTTTTTTTTTTACCACCCATAGAATTCCCTTCCTACCCTCTGCTTTTTTCTTCTTTTCTTTATTTTTTCAGAGATAGTGTCTCACTATGTTATCTAGGCAGGTCTCGAACTCCTGGCCTCAAGCGATCCTCCTGCCTTAGCCTCCTAAGCAGCTGGTACTACAGGCATGCATCACCATACTTGGCCCCTTCTGCTTTTATGGAGCCAGGGCTGACCTTCCTGGACAGTTGTTTTCAAGTATAATATCTCTGGGACAACATTGATAAAATCCACATGAGTTTAAGTAAGTGGCTGGTTACTTTTGGGAATCAAAGGATCATCTCCTTTTCTCAGACTTTGAGTTCCTAATGTCAGTACTTAAATTCTATGATAGGATGCCCCAGGAAAGAAGGAATACAAGGCCGAGCTGCATGGTGACTTTCAGCAGCCCGAGTATTTTTGATTTGGTAGGCCCTTCCCTCCATAAAACAGTTAATAAAAATTTCATTTTATAGTTGCACTGCTATGAAGATGATATTAAAATGATATCATAAAACTTTTTTAGACCTATAGGTTCACTTTTTTCTTCTGATTAAAAAAATTGAAACATTTTCATGAGCCTTAATATCACGGTTCCTAGGCATGATGCCTCCTGCACCTCATGAAGAAGTTGGCTGATGCAAAATGAATTCCTCCATAGGCACAAGTGTGTTTGTAGGAATAATATGAATATAAAAACAAGGCTAGCCATGGTGGCTCATGCCTGTAATCCAGCACTTTGGGAGGCTGAGGCGAGAGAGTCACTTGAGCCCAGGAGTTTGAGACCAACCTGGGCAATATAGAGAGACCCTGTCTCTACAAAAATTTAAAAATTAGCCAGGCATGGTGGTGCACACCTGTAGACCCAGCTGCTTGTGAGGCTGCGGTAGGAGGATGGCTTGAGCCTGAGAGGTCGAGGCTGCAGTAAGCCGTGATCATGCTATTGCACTCCAGCCTGGGAGACAGAACGAGATCTTGTCTCAAAAAACAAAACAAAATTTCAGCTAACCACAAAATCATCATATTTATGGGGAGACAAAATGAGATGCTTGAATAAGACGATCTCGCATTTCATGGTTGAGGTTGCTTCCTGAACTACATTCTCATCCTACCTCCTAGTTATACGATGAGGAGATGTGGGGAAGGTTGAGTCCATCTCCACCGCTATCACCACCGATTCCAGGAATGGGTCCCTGGAGGTTTAACACGATCAGTCAGATGACCATGACTCTTCCTCTAGTGTCTGGGGCAGGGATGGCTACCCATGGTGCTCCAATGACAATAAGGCTTGGCTCAGAATAAAAACTTGGCCTGGTCAAGTTCAATTTTGTCCAGTCTGAGTAAGGGAATCACCCAGCCTCTGGACCCTTCCAGTTGTGTGAGCCAGTCAGTTCTAGTTATTGTGGAAGGCAGTTTCAATTGTTGTTTTGTTTTGACTAGCAACCAAAAATGTATGTAATCATCTGTTACAGTATGTTAAAATTGAAGTTTCCACTGAGACTGGAAGATGAGGTAAAAATGAGATGCCAAAGTGTGTGTGAGACAGATTGCCCTCCTTCCTGGAGGAATCTTCAGAGTAGATATAAGAGAAATGATTCCTCCTGCTTTTTCTTTTTTTTTTTTTTTTTTTTTTTTGATAGAGTCTTGCTTTGTCACCCAGGCTGGAGTGCAGTGGCGGGATCTCAGTTCACTGCAACCTCCACCTCCCAGGTTCAAGCAATTCTCCTACATCAGCCTCCTGAGTAACTGGGATTATAGGCACCCACCTCCAAACCTGGCTAATTTTTGTATTTTTTATTTATTTATTTATTTATTTATTTTTTAATCCAAAATGTGTTTATTAAGATAGTTTCCCACTCATCTTGATTCAGAGTGCTTTTAGTGCTGCTTCCTCCTGAAAGAACATCCTTCTGTAAGCCTTGCTTTTCCTCCTGTAGGCTGGCAGAGGACAGTGGAGCAACCAACACACAAAACTACCGTTTGTGCATGGCTGAAGACCGTGGTGATTTTATAGCATCCTGGGCATTTCACATCCATGAAGTAGGAATTGGGGCTTTGCACTAGGCGTTTCTTCTTGTGTTTCCTCTTCTCCTCTTCTGGAGACGGATGAAGGAGATCCTTTGCTAGAGGCATGTTCTCATGCGTAGATCGTCACCGCCGGACAATTTTTGTATTTTTAATAGAGACAGGCTGGTCTCGAACTCCTCACCTCAGGTAATCCACCCACCTCAGCCTGACAAAGTGCTGGGATTACAGGCATGGACCACCGTGTCTAGCTGATTTCCTCTTCTCTTAAACCTCCTCTCACACGCTTTGGGAATATAAAGGAAAGGAGAAAATGGTGACCAAGATGACTTCACTGGAAGGATCTCTTTGGGGATGGGCTCCCCCAAAATAGAGAAGAGAGCATCTGCCTCCTTGCCTCAGTTTGGCTGACAAGAGACTTTGAGGAAGCATTTATATACCTGTTGGTTCCCAGGCCCTTGGGGACAAGGGTGACCTGCAGGTGGGTCAAGCTGCATGTGTTTTGGTAGCACAACAAAGGTGAACAAGGTAGGTTGTCAGCCAGATCTAAACTTTGCTGGCAGGAAGTCACCCGGAGTCTTAATTTCTGCCCAAGGAGCTAACCTGGAAGCACGAAGACTCCCCACTGGTGAGTCAAGAATGAACAGCACTCCTGGAGAACCAATCAGGGCAGAGGGAGAGCCGGCCTGAGGTGAGGCCTTGCCCAGTGGGTCACGGACATGCACTTGGGATTTGGGAGGTGCAGGGAGTCCCCAAAGGGGCCAGGAGAGAAGATCAGGAAGGCTGGGGTGGCCTATGTCTTACCTGGGGCAAAGGGAAAACAATTCTCATCCTGTAGTGAAGATTGCTATGTTGATTAGTATCTTAGACTGATGCTACCATTTCTTCACTGAGATTCTGCTTTCAATGAAAGTGCCTGCAGAATTGTCTGTTCCCCAAGAGGGCCTTAGAAAAACACATAGGGGAGGCACTAAAATTCTGCTAGTATGGGGAGGGTTTCTTCGCAAAGGTTTGTAGGAGAGAACCATGTAGGATGGTGCAGGAATCCGGGTTAGCAGCCCTGAAGCCAACATCACCTCTTCCTCAACCTAGAGGGATGCTGGGAGAGGTTAGCAGAAGGAAGGAGTGTTGTGAAGAGCAGAACACCTTGAGATGACCATCTTCCCTCCAGGGTCACAGCAAGCTGGGGTGGCCTCAAAAGAAGGGAGGCAGGAGACTACATTCTCTGACCTCACTCTCTTCTGTCCCACCAATTTCCTGCTGGAACTCTGAGACGTTGATCACCACCTGCAGGAGTCTGTCCTGCAAACCGTGACTCCATGATGGATGAATCAACGCACTCAAACGGTGAACAAGTGGGCTAGGGAGGTCATCAGCTGCTCTCAGAGGGCGATTGCAGCTACCTAGTCCCCCCACTAGCTCTACCTCACGTGTATTCAGTATGGATTTAACAACAAAGGCTTTGAGTAAACACATTTGTGGATAAAACATGGATAAAAGCGTAGTTCTTCCAAAGATTAAAGCTCAGGTGCCGATACCCCGAGTAAACCCCATTGATTGATAATATCACTGGTTAACACATCCCCCCCCCACCAGAGGACCATCTGGCTCAAAGATTACGCGAGTAAACAGGTAGTTAGAGACAAAAGGGTAAACAGACTTAACTGGGGAAGCTTCTGTTATCCCTAATCTTCATCCTATGACCTAATGCTCTAAGGTAAGAACCGGCTACCTTCAGCCTGTTCCATTATTCCAAG